AAACTTTATTTACTTTGCTTGAAGAGTTTATATAAGCTAATATTTAATTGAATTATGTTAATTAAGTTATGTTCTCATTGCAGCCTTCATCAAAATTGGAATCTTGTATTTATCATTAAGTGATTGCTTCCAACGCATTCAAAGAAGTCTCTACCTGCTTCGATGTCTCATGGGTGATCAAAGCCTGCTCTTCTTCTTCCTTACTTTGAAATTTCAAACGAAGATTAGTATTCATAATTAACCAAACCCTTCCGAATTTCTAAATTATGAGTCCGTAAGTATTTTTGCAACCGAAACTAAAAGTAATTTCCTAAGGCTGTAATGATCATTATGTAAAATATTCCACAACTGCCAAGAAAAAAAACCAACAAATATTGATTTTTGGATTATCAAGATGACCAACGGACTATTCTAATTTAGATTTATTTTGTTTGTTTTGTAATTTTTGTTACGTAAAAATGTAAATGCATGCGTTCAATTATATTTTATTAGAAATTTTGTTTACATTACTAAAGTAATATGATAGTTTTTTCGATTAATTTATTTATTTTGAAGAATTTCTCTCGAGGTTTCTAAACATTTAGTCGATAGCGTAAGGAACACATAAACTAAATAATGGACTATATTAGAGGGTGTAACTATAAAGTTGGTATTATATATTACGTTGTATTATACTATTGGATATTTGAAAAATCTTACACATAATAGAATCTTTGTTGTCTTCAAAGGAATGAGAAGGATCACGACACACCAGAAGAAACAAAAAACGAAGTTTCCTACGGTTTGGAAAAACGATTACTATTCATTTTTAATTATGAGATTTCACTCTCACAGAAGATCTTGATTATATACTTAATTACTATTTTTGACCGTTTAATTACTGTCATGAACTAAAGGGTCAATGTTCAGGCTTGTTTCACATTGTCAAATTAAAACCAAACACTTACCAACTTTCTATTAATCTCGTTGACTATATAAACAGTCGTCGTATAAACTAAAGGTTCCAAGTAAGTAGCATGAAAATAAGTATAAATTCAAATGCTTAATGTATGTGACATTGTCAACGAGGGTAGATACGCCCTTAAAATTCCATGTAATGTTGGCCACAGATAAATTATGAAAACTAAATAGTTGTAAATATGTAATTATGTGAATGCAAACACTTAAGCATAAATATATAGAAATACTCTAAACTCTGAAACTAATACGATGTTTAGCCCCCAGCCCCAAAATCTCGACTTCTTTTAATCGCATCTGACTTGATAGATCAAGATATCTTGTAAAGTCTAAACATTGTTTTTTTTTTTGCTAAACTAAGTCTAAACATTGTTAATCTCATAATTTTGACGTAATAATAATAGTATTCTACAAATGAAACAAATTGGCATACACGACTTAGTTAAGATTCGTTTTTTGGACTAAATCTTTAAAAAAATTATTGAAAAACTTCTACATTAATATTTTGTCAAGTTTAAACTCAAGATAAGGATAATTTAACCACTTTCCATACATGATCCGGGTCTCATAAAAAATAAATGTACCTGTCAAATGCCAAAAAAATTGGTGGCTTACTAAACCCTATCATATAGAACAGTATAATTGTTTGAAAACTATGAGAATTCTCGCATACATATTAATATATATCATGGTCAACAAAGTAAAATGGTTTTGGGACAATTTTTTCTGGCTCTTATCTTACATTTCTTGTGAAGGAAGTTAATAATTTGGTAGATGGGAAAATCTTGGAAAAAACCAGTTAGTTATAAAAATTATATGAACGGCCAAATTAAAGGTACGCACTACAAACAACTTTTTCATTTGCAAAATTTCTAAAGAGTTATCCTATAGTAAAGCGAAACGTCCGTGATCGTGTCTCTTGAAGACGTATATGTTTTGTTATTTCCAGCAAAACAAACTTTAATTGTCATAATATAAGTTGTCGTTACATAACGAATCCATATATTAATTTTATCACAACACTAAACTTATTCTCAGCAAATAAATAGTTGAATAACGTAAAAGAGTTCCAAATGTGAATGCGCGTTTTTACACACAAACGTACAATAATATTATAAACGAACAGTAGTACTAAAACTATTAATTAGGTGTTTTAATTTCTACTTTTTATTGTTTTGGTTGATGCATGATGAAAGTTTGACAAATGTATACACAGTTTTAAAAATATTAATCATAGAAAATTTTACCCCAAATTTCAGTTAACTTGGTAGATTATGGTATATGACATATGGTTGGTTATACGGGTATTATTTGATTCGTTTCAATCGCATTGGTTTTATTAACAAAAACAATTTATATTTGTTAATAAAATAAATGACTGTAAGCAAATGTATACGATCAAAACAAAAGACCTTAAGCAAATGATTTCAAGGGTCAAGTCTTTTGCGTCCGCTCGAATTCCTTAGGAATAAGATCCGGGAATCTGGAGAGATGGCGTTTTAACTCTATTAATGGTTCACTTATTTTATGGTGAACTCGACCTTGTAGTTATTATTTTCAAGTATTGTTGTTTGGAATTTAGCAATGTATCACTGCTCCGATGTAATCCAACCAGTTGTGAAATGAAGCAAAACTCCAGATGGAAACAAACAAAAGAAAAAAAGCAAATGTATTTCAGAGAGTTCTGGTTCGGACTGAACTAGGTTTGGTTTATTCAGTTTGTAGATAAATGAAACTGATCTGATTGCCAAAACCATGTACTGTGTTTGATTATGATTCAGTTCAGTTCAATTGTACATTTGAAAAAAAAAACAAATGCTTGTTGTCGAAAATTGAACCATAACTTTTTGATTTTTTTGGTCAGAGATAAAGCCTCTTTACTTATAGAAAGGTAAAGGGAAAGTCGAAAGAGACCACGACCCAAGGAACAAAAAGCTGTGAATTACATATGCACTATTGAAAACCTTTTTTTTATCTATTACTCTAACAAATTATCCTACGCAAACATCAAACATAACATATAAACATCAAGCATTATCTTTTTTGTTGTTTAACCGATTGATTAATCCGAAAATTCATAGCATTTGTTCTAATATCTATACTCTTGTGAATTTGGTGAACAGAAAGACAAATTCGTAAGAGATTTAGCGAACAAAGCAATTAATTTGAATATCCGTTTGTCTAGGATTTTCTGTTAGTTGTGTGAATGAATGATTACAAAATGACATACATATAAGTTCCAAAATCTAAAACAATTAGAAATAGAAAATAGAGAAAATTTCTAACGTTGAGTTATATTTCTCTTGCCTACTAAAAAAACTCATTCGCAGTATATTATCATATTTAAGTCACCAAAAAACAACATAATATCTCGAACCAACCATTGCATTATATCTATGTGAAAAATATAATCGTCCAATCCTAAATTGAGTTCAAAGTAAGGGAAGACTTAGAGCATCTCCAACTTTTAGATATCCATCGAGGATGTATAAGTATATTATTATAGTAATTTTAATGTAGTCTAGTCATTTATTTAAATTTTAAATTTATATAATAAAAATTGAGCCAATAACATACGTCAAATGAGTTTCTAAATTTAAAAAAAAAAAGAGTTTCTCAGATGTGAAACTCATCTCATTCTCTCTCATAACTTTTGATTACTTTTCAATTTTAAATTGGTGAAAAACTCCTTTAGAAACCTCAATTAACTCCTTCAAGAAGTTAGTATCTACTACTAGAATACCATCTATTTTTTTTTGTTGGGTCTAAATCTTTGGTTTTCGTTCATTAATTAAA